AGGAATGTGCAATGGAACCATTCCAGGAACCAGAAGGGTTGAGGGTGGACTGGAACGTCAAGCGCCACAAACCTCAAGCTCTGCCTTCAGCCCTGGTTATGAGGAAGGCCCCAGAGCTAGGAGCTCTGCTCTGATTAAGCCCCAGTCATTAAGGCCAGACTGGAACAGGGCTGCTAGCCTGCCTGCTACACTGAGGTTTTGGTCTGGAGGGCCTCTCAGCAAGCCTGGATAAACCAGTCTGAACCCTGTGCTCACCATTGAGAGTAGCATTCAGTCTGGTTGAACCAGGCTACCTCACAGCTGCATGATAGATGGAAAAAGTAATGGGTGTCAGTGAGTAGAGGTTATACAGTACCAAACATTCCTTAGTGAACACCCTGTCTGATCTAATAACACATTCAGAAATACAGTTAGGGGATTCAAATGCTAACAGAAATAGAAGATGACAAGCCAAATCAACACTGCTGTGAATAAACCTCCGAAACACAGAGATAGAGGGGGCATTACCAAATGATGTCTTCATTGCTATCAGATACATGGGCATACATCAACCGTCACACTCTCACACACTGAGAATCAGTGTACAGTTGGGGTTGAAATGGAACTCATTTAGATACAACTGATGCCGGGGTTGGTAAACGGGGTGCGGGCTGTGTGCTGGGAATGTCATCATTTGCATTTAAATTGGCACCATTGTGTTGATATAGGTGGTGTTTATTCACAGGATGTGAAAGACCCTCACCGCCTCTACGTTAAAGCTAGCGCCGCCAGACATGATGCTCGCAGGATGATAACAGAAGCAGCTCACACTCATGTTAATGGAGCTGCTAAAGTGAGTGAGTGAGTGAGAACGAGAGAGAGGAGAGAGAGAGAGTGTGTAGGAGTGACAGCCAGCACATAGTAAAAAGTCTTCAGTGACATCCGTCTTTTCCTTCCCTGTCATCTTCTGTCAATTATGTAGATCAAATCTCTATTCCTGTGGTCTCTGACCCTCTCCAATCCCTTAGAAGGAGACAAACCTCAAAGGATTAGCAGCGGAGACATAATGTGTCCATCTCTGTTTGGAGGAACATTTCCACATGATTATAAGCTCTCAGTGACTATCCACTATACACACAACAAATTGGTCATGTTCAATGAATGTGAGCAATAACTGATTTATGATTTACAAGAGGCATGGGATGCAAAAAATCAAAGCTTTTGTATTCTAACTGCTTCTGCTGTTTTGATGTCATTATCTGTTTTCACAACATGTGTTTGTTTCTTATCTCAATTAAGTCTGGGGAAGAAGGAAAACACTGTTCAGAACTTAGTTTCCCCATCATTGGACTTGGCCAACTGCTTATGAGAAACCTCAAATAAGACAGAAGAAAGATGTCTGTCTCTGGCTCATGCTAAAAGCTATGCACTTCCTAGTCTTGGCAGGCTCTCAGTGGAGTAGAGTGGTCTCTCTCTCGCTCTCTCTCTCTCATTATAATGTGACATGTCCCCTCTCCATTAAGGTAGATGGGGAGGAGGGGCCCGGAGGCCCCATGACAGGGGGAGGTGGGTAGGCAGTTGCAGCATGGCCCCGGTCGCACCAAGGAGAGATGAGCGATTCGAGATTGGCTCCAGACATGGCCATTGTCTTGCAGAGTTAAAAAGCAGCTATTAATCATGCTGACAACCACACACACACACACATTGAGCCACACAAATGCTCGCTCACACACACAGAGACACAAATGTACACACAAAGGAAGAGAGCGAGAGAGAGAGTGGGTGGAAACACACACACACACGCACAAAGAGAGACCAAGTGAGAGGGGGGACAGAACACCCACATAATGTACAATTTGTACACACACACCTAACTAAAAACTACAAGTGTGGGAGGCCCAGTTCTTACCTCCTACCCTGTAATAGATTACTATAACTCCACCATTGTGACCTAATGTATGCTTGACGACAGCGCAGGAAGCCATTTTGCGCTAAACATCTTAATTTTCCTTTTCCTTTTAATTGAGGGTTTCCAAAGTGACTAGACGATAAGCTGTAATTAAAGTGCTTTAATTCACACATTCATTACAGCAGCGTCGACATGCTATTCTGTTCTTGGAGACATACTAATGAGTGTGTGTGTGTGTGTGTGTGTGTGTGTGTGTGTGTGTGTGTGTGTGAGAGTGAGTGAGTGAGTGAGTGAGTGAGTGAGTGAGTGAGTGAGTGAGTGAGTGAGTGAGTGAGTGAGTGAGTGAGTGAGTGAGTGAGTGAGTGAGTGAGTGAGTGAGTGAGTGAGTGAGAGAGAGAGACAGAGTGAAAGACAGAGACAGAGCGAGAGAGAGCGAGCGAGCGAGCGACAGCACGAGAGAGAAAGAGAGAGAGAGAGAGAGAGATAGTGTGTCATGAGACAGACCAGGGCTCTGGGAGGTTCGCTCCTTGCCATGCGAATTCTAACTTCGCAAAGTGTCTAGTTTTATTACCATAACTGTATTACAGATGTGTTACTGTTTGTTTGATAGGTGACACAGCAGGTGATGGAGCATATCAGTGATGGAGGGTGTTGGAAAGACCGGGAAAGATGGCATGTTAGGTTTTTCCCAAAGAAATTACTAGGGTATTGCCTCGTGAAATTAATCAGCGAGCTAGCCACCTGTCAAGTGCCTAATCAGGTGTGTGTGTGCTTGTGTGTGTGTGCTTGTGTGTGTGTTTGTATGTTGTGAAACATGTAGCGTACAGTACAAATTGCCTGTCACAGCAACCGCCTCTCCTCAAGCCAATAGTGGAGTGAATAATTTTCTGGCAACGTGTGTGTATATGTGTCTGGGAGTGTGTGTGTGTGTGTGTGTGTGTGTGTGTGTGTGTGTGTGTGTGTGTGTGCGCGTGTGTGTGTGTGTGTGTGCGTGTGTATTCCATACATACGGAAGCTCTGATTAAAGGGAAGCACCATCAATCTGTACTTCCCTGCCCTGCGCTAGGCATAAATACAACACACTACCATGCTGCCTTTGAATATGGTGTGTGTGTGTGTGTGAGATTAGGAACGTTCCAGACATTCAGCCCGACACTGTCAGAGGCTGCTACACTGCTACTCTACATCACCTTTGAACATCTACATGACAGAAACAACACACACACACACACACACACATAGGATTCCTATCTTCCTCCCTCACAAACCTCCTCAACTCACTTCCCTTAAAACTGGCTCAGGGCCCACATTTAATTTCTCTTCCAATGAAGAGAAAGAAAAAGCACAGAGACATTGGAATAAATCCATATTTTACAGCTCACCGGTAAAAAATAAAAGGTCTTTAAAACACACACTGCTCCCCGTCCTGCTCCTGTCCTAAGTCAAACATGCTTGAGGTTTCTCTCTTGTGCTACAGAGTACAGGAAAAGTAGACATTTGTGTGGCCTGGAGGACTGCACAATCACAAAGGGAGATACTGTGGTGTTATTAGGAGACTGAGGGTCCATTTTGGGGTCTTTGTCAGAGGCTAACTGGCTGTTTTCTGGAAGATTGAGCCGGAGGTTACAGACCTGTTAATGAAAGTCGAGTGAGGAGGCTCAGGGAAGAAGACGGACAACACTGGAGCCTGTATTTAACACTCTCTCTCTCCCTCTCTTCCTCTGTCTAACCACTTCTTGCTTTCTTTCTCCCTCTCCCTCCATCTCCATACAAGCATTTCACTACACCCGCAATAACATCTGCAAAATATGTGTAAGCGACCAATAAAAATGTGATTTTATTCCCTTTTTCTATGGTATCTCTCTCTCTCTTTCTGTCATCTCTGTTTCCCTCTCCTCCCTCCCTTTCTCTTTCCCCATCTAACTGTGTCTCTGTCTCTCCCTCCCACTCTCTTTCTCTGTTTGACTGCCTCTCTCTCTCTCTCTCTCTTTCTGTCTAACTGCCTCTCTCTCCCTCCCTCTCTCTGTCTAAGTCCCTCTCTCGCTCTCTCTCTCTCTCTATTTCCCTCCCTCTTTCTCTGTCTAACAGTCTCTCTCTTCTTCTCTGACATAAACACATGTTCAACAGCCATTTGCATGAAAATGGAAATCAAGCTCTCTTCCCTTCAGGCCTTCTCTGTAAGAATCACTCAATGAGAAAATACATCTGTTTATAAATGTACACACACCGTTGTTTCTCGCCCATGCTAGAAGAACAAGACATGTATTCTTAATTTGCCAAATCTTGAGCAGACTATTCTTGTCACGTCTCAGACAATGCCTGTACTGTAGCCATGCATAGAACTAGTCCTCCTTGTGCGTCACCTACAGAGGAAAGAACCTGTGTCTTCTGCAGCGAGGACAACACACATGGCTGGCTACACTCAATCAACAACCATCACAGCTAAGATGCTAATCGCCACCCTGCTCGAGTCTTAATCCTGGACACATATAGTTAACCTGGTAACACTTTATTTTAAGGGTACCTAATAAACCATTTATAACGCATATATATAGTGTGTTCACCATTTATTAATCATTACTCCCACATTTGTAAATGTTAGTAATGTATTTATTCACACATTTATATTTCCTTAAACATCCTGTGTTGTGTGATTATTCTTTTACCAGATACTGCTGGAATGTCTACCAATGGCATGCCCATCTTTTTGTGAGAAATTACACTGGTCACTCAAAACATTTATAAAGTATTTATAAAGTATAAATAGCGCTCATTTTAGATTAGGGACTGCAAAAAGACATAACTAATTATTAGTAAATGGGTTTATAAATGTGGCAGTAATGACTAACAAATGGTGAACACACAATTTATAAATATATTATAAATGGTTTATTAGCCTAAAATAAAGTGTTACCCTTAACATTTATCTAACAAGGAAGACCTGTTTTCAAGGAAAACTAGCCAAGAAAGCAGCTCACATCCATATTTTCGGACACCCTAAACCAGACCAAAACCAGTCCAATCCTATCCTATCTTCCTCTCACTGAACAAAGGACACCTACACATTTTCAGACAACTAAAACCAGACAGCATTCTGTCATGTCTCTCGTTCTCACCTGATGCGTGGCCCGTCGCGGAGCGGCTCTCTCATGGTTCTGCCGCGGTTGGTGCCTGGCAGCGTACCTTGGCGCCGGCTAACGGTGGAATAGTCAGGCTCCAGGTCATAGGGCTCCTCCTCCTCGGGGCCCAGGCTGCGGCGGTCGTCCTCCAGTCCGTAGGGCTCTGGCTGGAAGCGTTCTGGCTGCGACCGGTTCAGATCCACACTGCTGCTGCCCATGGGGACCTGGGGCTGGGCCACGTGGCCATAGTCATCCTTCCGGATGGGTAAGGTCCCGTAGCTGTTCTCCGGCCGATAGCTGTTAGCCATAGCGTAGGGGTAGCGGGGAGGCCGGAAGTTGACGCCGCGGGACAGGCTGCCGTAGTTGTCTGTCGCGTCTCCGATGCCGTAGCCATCGTGGAGGCCGTAGTGGCGCCCACCGTACTGACTCCCGCCAAGGTCGGGGGGGAGCGCGTCACTGTAGGAGTCGTTGTAGTTGTTGTAGGAGCGCGTGAGCGTGGAGGTGGCCTGCGGCGTGGTGATGTAGCGCTCGCCATTCTTCAGGTAGCGCCGGTCGATGGAGTCTGTGTAGCTGCCCAGCGGGGACGAACCCTCAGGAAGGGGCAGGCCGTCGGGGCCCAGGGGCACCTGGCGAACCGTCCGCGTGGTCACCGTCTTCACCATCTTAGTCACCTAGAGGAGGAGACAAGGTCACAAAGACACAGATAACAACTGATTACCTAATCCTCATTACATTAGTGGTTCATCAGTTACTACCCAATCTTGGAAGTCTGTGTCATGTGTATGGACCACACCATGAGCAACAGTTGATGAAAACAATGTTGAAGCATTCTGATCACCCAGAAATGACTGTACTAAACAGTACAGTCTTGGTCAAAAGTTTTGAGAATGACACAAGTATTGGTCTCCACAAAGTTTGCTACCTCTGTGTTGATGATGGCAATTTGCATATACTCCAGAATGTCATGAAGAGTGTTCAGATGAATTGCAATTAATTGCAAAGTCCCTCTTTGCCATGAAAATGGCAAACTTAATCCCCCAAAAACATTTCCAATGCATTTCAGCCCTGCCACAAAAGGACCAGCTGCCATCATGTCAGTGAATGTATCGTTAACACAGGTGAGTGTTGACGAGGACAAGGCTGGAGATCACCCTGTCATACTGATTGAGTCAGAATAACAGACTGGAAGCTTTAAAAGGAGGGTGGTGCTTGAAATCATTGTTCTTCCTCTGTCAACCATGGTTACCTGCAAGGAAACACGTGCCGTCATCATTGCTTTGCACAAAAAGGGCTTCACAGGCAAGGATATTGCTGCTAGTAAGATTGCACCTAAATCAATCATTTATCGGATCATCAAGAACTTCAAGGAGAGAGGTTCAATTGTTGTGAAGAAGGCATCAGGGCGCCCAAGAAAGTCCAGCAAGCGCCAGGACCGTCTCCTAAAGTTGATTCAGCTGCGGGATCAGGGCACCACCAGTGCAGAGCTTGCTCAGGAATGCGCACAGTGAGGCGAATACTTTTGGAGAATGGCTTGGTGTCAAAAGGGCAGCAAAGAAGCCACTTCTCTCCAGGAAAAACATCAGGGACAGACTGATATTCTGCAAAATGTACAGGGATTGGACTGCTGAGGACTGGGGTAAAGTCATTTTCTCTGATGAATCCCCTTTCCGATTGTTTGGGCCATCCGGAAAACACCTTGTCCGGAGAAGACAAGGTGAGCGCTACCATCAGTCCTGTGTCATGCCAACAGTAAAGCATCCTGAGACCATTCATGTGTGGGGTTGCTTCTCAGCCAAGGGAGTGGGCTCACTCACAATTTTGCCTAAGAACACAGCCATGAATAAAGAATGGTACCAACACATCCTCCAAGAGCAACTTCTCCCAACCATCCAAGAACAGTTTGGTGACGACCAATGCCTTTTCCAGCATGAAGGAGCACCTTGCCATAAGGCAAAAGTGATAACTAAGTGGCTCGGGGAACAAAATATTCCAAGCATTGATTATGCAAGAATGGGCTGCCATCAGTCAGGATGTGGCCCAGAAGTTAATTGACAGCATGCTAGGGCGGATTGCAGAGGTCTTGAAAAAGAAGGGTCAACACTGCAAATATTGACTCTTTGCATAAACTGAATGTCATTGTCAATGAAAGCCTTTGACACTTATGGAACACTTGTAATTATACTTCAGTGTATCATAGTAACTACTGACAAAAAGATCTAAGAACACTGAAGCAGCAAACTTTGTGGAGACCAATACTTGTGTCATTCTCAAAACTTTTGATCACGACTGTATGTTGAGGTGTCCCACCATTCAGAGAGACCACAGATTAATCTCGTCCCCAGACAGCTCTCTCTATAGGGTAGCAATTGAGGCTGGGGACGAGGTTACCCACAGTGAGAGACAGGTGGTTAGGACTGAGACACAGCGTGGACACAGTACACCGATGTAGCCTGTTGAATCACACAGACAGGCCAGTGGGATGCCGATGCCACACAGTGAGAGAGAGGCTGAGGAATGAGATGAGGACAACATTGTTCCTTTAAAGAGTGACCTCTGGAGTCGTTAGTATCACACTGATCAGGCAGCAAGCATTGTCAACAACAGGTCAAAGGTCATGCATTGGGAAACTCAGTGACAAAGGGTCGCACCATTGCCTTTAATTCATTTCTATTACAAATACTTGAGGCTAGGTTGTGTTGGAAGTAAGGCTGAGATTCTGTGACGTTACAATAATAGTTCCAAGAGCAAAAACATCTATCCATTAGTGCAGTAGCAGTAGTAGATCACCTGGAGATATTTGTCCTTGCCTAAAGCCTATTCATATATATGTAGAACTACTCATCTGCCTACCAACAGCCAATTAAAGCAACTGTTGTTGGATAGTGGGATAGAGTTAACATGGCAACACAGCGTTCTTCTGGGATGCAGTGCGCAGAACCTTGACTTCCACTGAAGCTGCATGGTCAGAAACTGCACCCCAAATGACACCCTATTCCCTACACAGTCCATAGGGCTTTGGTTAAAAGTAGTGCACTACATAGGGAATAAGGTGCCGTTTGGGATGCATTAAGAGTCATAACTGGTGACTGTGACAGTCTTATAAACACTAGTAAACTGTGTATATATATATATATATATGTCTATACACCTTGTCCTTAATAAATCACACTCCTACTTGTCTGAGAGTGCTGAAGCTGTCTGGCAGTCAGGGAGGGCTAGCCGCATCTCGCCTCCTCCGGTGGTTCAGCACCGATACAGAAACCAATTTGCTGCCCAGTGAATTCTGCAGTGGCAATAATTGGTTATTTTGTCCGCGGCTATAAATTAATCTTCAAAATTAATGAGGTTGATGAAAATGAATCGTCATTGTAGGGGGCCCTATGTCTGACTGATACGATTCGTGTTGTGCCTGACAAGATGCACAGAGATGGTTCATTCCCATTCAACTGGCAGACAAGTACTTCACTGAAAGGAGCTTTTTCCTATGAACACAGAAAGAGACTGGTTTCTGTTTAGTTACATTTTCTGATACAACCACTTTGCTGAACTCGTAATTATAATATACCAGGGTATTTTTCCCGTCTTTTCAATCAATGCGATTATTCAGATTTTTATTTAGAATTTTAGCAAAGGCATGAAATAATAACAAGGAACCTCAATAAGGTATTAAACACATCTCCTCAAAAGATGAAGCAGGGAACAAAATGTGAATCAGAAATGCTAAACATTCACACTCATTAAAGTTTAGAAAAAGAGGGAAGAATTTTAATCTTGATCCCACTTTCACAAAGCCTTTAGTTTGTTCACACACTGTCCCTTTCTCAAACTGTGAGGTATTTTAAATTCTAACATGCAAAAAACTGTCTATTTGAAGTCATGTCAAGGTTCCTTTCCTCTGAATAATTACAGTGCATCCGTAACATCTAAAGACCACCCTTCTTTTGTGACTTCACACTACGCTGGCAGAGCTGGTCCCCCTGGCTTTGCATGTAACTCGCACATAATCATCCCTTTCATGTTAAAAATAAAGCCTTTTTCTGATTCTTAACTTAATGAAATAGCTTGAGCACGAGGCCACCGCTGGACTTGAAATAACAGGCTGGCTTCTCTTCTGAGCTGGTCGATTAGGATACTTTTATTGCCATTCATTTCAATGGAGGTGGGGGTGGTAATTGAGTCCAGGCCTGGGTGGGACTAGGTCTCTTCACTTAAAAGGACCTTATGCCTGCTACACTGTGCTGAAGTGTGGAGATGATCTCTAAGATCTGGGGTTGAGGATTACTACCCTAAACTATACAGCAGTGTTCTTCAATCCTGGTTATGGTCCTAATCAACCACAGGCTGAAAATCTGCCATGGCCCAAACTCCCTCCATCTTGCACAAGGCCGTCTTTCAACTCAGCCAGGGAGAGAAGCCTAGACATACACTTCATGTTTGTACTAACATTACTTCTAAAGAGCCTTCGCTGGTACAGCATGAAAAAAACGCCAGACAGGTTTCAAACAGAACTCTGATCTGCTGGAAGATCACAACACGCTAAACAAGCACTACTGGGACTGGGGATAACGCTTCAGAAAGGGCCCAACTAGATCACTGTAAACAGGCTAAAAGAGAATCTCTAAATGCTGGTGTGTGTGTGTCCGGGCCATGTGGCGAAGGCAGTGCGCTCCCTTGCCGTAATGAAAGGTGCCTGTAGTCAAACTGGGGCCTATGTTTACCAACTGTTAGGCTGTTGAAGGGGGAGGAGGAAGGGAGGGCAGGCGTCACATTCAGTCTTTATAGTGCTGTAACACTTTCACCATCTCTGCCGCATTCAACTTTTATAGACAGACAGATCTCAAACTGACACACCAGCTGGGGGTTAGTGGAAGCATTTAGGGAGGTTTAGAGTCAGGGAGGTGCAAGCGGGAGGGGTTGGGGGTTCACTTCAAGCCACAAACCAGAGGTTTGGATGCCTTTGTGTTCTTTACTGGGTCTGTCTCTGATGGGGAGGGGGTGGTAGTAGGAAAAGTGGTGGGCACCGGGGTGCTGGGTTTGGACTGCGGGGTGATGGAACCTCCTGGCACCACCAGGGTCTCTGTGACGGTCACTGGCAGATACCTGCGGCGGGTGATGGTTTTGATCACCTTGGTCACCTATGGGAAAGTGTTTAGGGCCGAGGTGGTAGTACTGGGAATCACATAGAGAACATTGGCAGTTGTTTGAAAATACATGATTCAACAAGATAGGAATAAAAGATCACCAAATTGACTGTTTAGCACTTTGTATCAGAGTGGCTTTCGTTCTTTCCATTAGCACCTTTCTCCTGGTTGTGTTTTATTTGCTTATATGACCTGCCTTAACCCTCATTAACGCCGATCCACAGGACAGGGTGGAATGCCGCTGCTTTTGATTGTTTTCATTGACCTCTTTTAAAGAACAGTGGTAGTGTTTCACCCAACATTCACCATTCAGCCAGAGGGCAGCTGGAGAATGTCCAAAGAAAAGCACAGTGTATTGGGAGGGAGATGGAGGATGAATGTGGTGGAGCCCCTTTCCTTTGTGTGTGTGTGTGTGTGTGTGTGTGTGTGTGTGTGTGTGTGTGTGCACGTGCGTACAGTGGGGGAAAAAGTATTTAGTCAGCCACCAATTGTGCAAGTTCTCCCACTTAAAAAGATGAGAGAGGCCTGTAATTTTCATCATAGGTACACGTCAACTATGACAGACAAAATGAGAAAAAAAATCCAGAAAATCACATTGTAGGATTTTTAATGCATTTATTTGCAAATTATGGTGGAAAATAAGTATTTGGTCAATAACAAAAGTTTCTCAATACTTTGTTATATACCCTTTGTTGGCAATGACACAGGTCAAACGTTTTCTGTAAGTCTTCACAAGGTTTTCACACACTGTTGCTGGTATTTTGGCCCATTCCTCCATGCAGATCTCCTCTAGAGCAGTGATGTTTTGGGGCTGTCGCTGGGCAACACAGACTTTCAACTCCCTCCAAAGATTTTCTATGGGGTTGAGATCTGGAGACTGGCTAGGCCACTCCAGGACCTTGAAATGCTTCTTACGAAGCCACTCCTTCGTTGCCCGGGTTTGGGATCATTGTCATGCTGAAAGACCCAGCCACGTTTCATATTCAATGCCCTTGCTGATGGAAGGAGGTTTTCACTCAAAATCTCACGATACATGGCCCCATTCATTCTTTCCTTTACACAGATCAGTCGTCCTGGTCCCTTTGCAGAAAAACAGCCCCAAAGCATGATGTTTCCACCCCCATGCTTCACAGTAGGTATGGTGTTCTTTGGATGCAACTCAGCATTCTTTGTCCTCCAAACACGACGAGTTGAGTTTTTACCAAAAAGTTATATTTTGGTTTCATCTGACCATATGACATTCTCCTAATCCTCTTCTGGATCATCCAAATGCACTCTAGCAAACTTCAGACGGGCCTGGACATGTACTGGCTTAAGCAGGGGGACACGTCTGGCACTGCAGGATTTGAGTCCCTGGTGGCGTAGTGTGTTACTGATGGTAGGCTTTGTTACTTTGGTCCCAGCTCTCTGCAGGTCATTCACTAGGTCCCCCCGTGTGGTTCTGGGATTTTTGCTCACCGTTCTTGTGATCATTTTGACCCCACGGGGTGAGATCTTGCGTGGAGCCCCAGATTAAGGGAGATTATCAGTGGTCTTGTATGTCTTCCATTTCCTAATAATTGCTCCCACAGTTGATTTCTTCAAAACAAGCTGCTTACCTATTGCAGATTCAGTCTTCCCAGCCTTGTGCAGGTCTACAATTTTGTTTCTGGTGTCCTTTGACAGCTCTTTGGTCTTGGCCATAGTGGAGTTTGGAGTGTGACTGTTTGAGGTTGTGGACAGGTGTCTTTTATACTGATAACAAGTTCAAACAGGTGCCAATAATACAGGTAACGAGTGGAGGACAGAGGAGCCTCTTAAAGAAGAAGTTACAGGTCTGTGAGAGCCAGAAATCTTGCTTGTTTGTAGGTGACCAAATACATATTTTCCACCATAATTTGCAAATAAATTCATTACAAATCCTACAATGTGATTTTCTGGATTTTGTTTTCTCATTTTGTCTGTCATAGTTGACGTGTACCTATGATGAAAATTACAGGCCTCTCTCATCTTTTTAAGTGGGAGAACTTGCACAATTGGTGGCTGACTAAATACTTTTTTCCCCCACTGTATGTGTGTGTGGTGGAGCCCCTTCCCTTCTTACCAGTTAGCTAGTTCCACATACCATCCAGATAGCTCACTGACTCACTCCTTTACAGCTGGAGCGGATAGATAGTTGGGCTTTAGTTAGCCTTTAAATGTTAGCCATTTCATTCACAGGCCTTGTTATGGTCTGTTTGTTTTAGTGTGGTGGCTGGCTACTGATACTGCTGCCTATACTGCTGCTTGCTTTGTGTGCAAATGTGTTTAGCTTTAAAAAAACATGTTTTTCCAAAAGCAGAGAGATGTGAAAACCTCATGTTTCATCTTGCTGTAATTGGAGGGGATACTCAGAATGCATTAAAGGAAATGCATGAGCAGTACGTAGCTAGCTAGAGCCTCCTGTGCAAAGGAAGCCAATAATACATCAATTCAAAAGATGAGAGAGTGAGAGAGAGAGATGTGAAGATGAGTCTGGAAACATCACGTGTGCAGGCTTCCATCACAAGCTGCCTAGCCAATCAATTTGCCACAATTATAAAGGAACAGTCAAAACCGTCTCTTCTGAGGCTTAGATCTACAGTGAGGGAAAAAAGTATTTGATCCCCTGCTGATTTTGTACGTTTGCCCACTGACAAAGACATGATCAGTCTATAATTTTAATGGTAGGTTTATTTGAACAGTGAGAGACAGAATAACAACAACAAAAATCCAGAAAAACGCATGTCAAAAATGTTATAAATTGATTTGCATTTTAATGAGGGAAATAAGTATTTGACTTAGTACTTGGTGGCAAAACCCTTTTTGGCAATCACAGAGGTCAGACGTTTCTTGTAGTTGGCCACCAGGTTTGCACACATCTCAGGAGGGATTTTGTCCCACTCCTCTTTGCAGATCTTCTCCAAGTCATTAAGATTTCGAGGCTGACGTTTGGCAACTCGAACTTTCAGCTCCCTCCACAGATTTTCTATGGGATTAAAGTCTGGAGACTGGCTAGGCCACTCCAGGACCTTAATGTGCTTCTTCTTGAGCCACTCCTTTGTTGCCTTGGCCATGTGTTTTGGGTCATTGTCATGCTGGAATACCCATCCACGACCCATTTTCAATGCCCTGGCTGAGGGAAGGAGGTTCTCACCCAAGATTTGACGGTACATGGCCCCGTCCATCGTCCCTTTGATGCGGTGAAGTTGTCCTGTCCCCTTAGCAGAAAAACACCCCCAAAGCATAATGTTTCCACCTCCATGTTTGACGGTGGGGATGGTGTTCTTGGGGTCATAGGCAGCATTCCTCCTCCTCCAAACACGGCGAGTTGAGTTGATGCCAAAGAGCTCCATTTTGGTCTCACCTGACCACAACACTTTCACCCAGTTCTCCTCTGAATCATTCAGATGTTCATTGGCAAACTTCAGACGGGCATGTATATGTGCTTTCTTGAGCAGGGGGTCCTTGCGGGTGCTGCAGGATTTCAGTCCTTCACGGCGTAGTGTGTTACCAATTGTTTTCTTGGTGACTATGGTCCCAGCTGCCTTGAGATCATTGACAAGATCCTCCCATGTAGTTCTGGGCTGATTCCTCACCGTTCTCATGATCATTGCAACTCCACGAGGTGAGATCTTGCATGGAGCCCCAGGCCGAGGGAGATTGACAGTTATTTTGTGTTTCTTCCATTTGCAAATAATCGCACCAACTGTTGTCACCTTCTCACCAAGCTGCTTGGCGATGGTCTTGTAGCCCATTCCAGCCTTGTGTAGGTCTACAATCTTGTCCCTGACATCCTTGGAGAGCTCTTTGGTCTTGGCCATGGTGGAGAGTTTGGAATCTGATTGATTGCTTCTTTGGACAGGTGTCTTTTATACAGGTAACAAGCTGAGATTAGGAGCACTCCCTTTAAGAGTGTGCTCCTAATCTCAGCTCGTTACCTGTATAAAAGACACCTGGGAGCCAGAAATCTTTCTGATTGAGAGGGGGTCAAATACTTATTTCCCTCATTAAAATGCAAATCAATTTATAACATTTTTGACATGCGTTTTTCTGGATTTTTTTGTTGTTATTCTGTCTCTCACTGTTCAAATAAACATACCATTAAAATGATAGACTGATCATTTCTTTGTCAGTGGGCAAACATACAAAATCAGCAGGGGATCAAATACTTTTTTCCTTCACTGTAGATTAATCTCTTTCTTCCCTTCAAAATGACTTCCCAAAAGCATCCTCTCTCTAGTCTCTGTGGAATTAAGTGTCCTTAAAAACAGTGACCCTCGTTCCCCAAGCCCAAGCCCTAGCCCTTGATTATGTTTTATTTAGTTGTGTGTGCGTTAGTTCGTTTTTTGTGTGTGAGTGTGTGCTTGTGTGCGTGAGTGAGTCCAATCCCCTACAATAGGATAGCAGCTTACACACAGTGAAACAGAGCGATTAGCTGGTCTGTTTAATTACAAACTCTGTAGTGTCTCTAGTGTGCCAGCAGCTCTACCCTTGGTCCCTCCGTAGGGTCCCTCCCTAGGGTCTCTCCCTAGGGAACCAGACTGTCAGAACAGAACACATCTCTGCTTTACTGGAGATGTGGGGTGAGTCCCAGGCAGCGTCCCAAATGGCACCCTACTCCTTATATAGTGCACTACTTTTGACCAGAGCTCTGGGCTATAGTGCACTATATAGGGAATAGGGTGCCATTCGGCACACATTCCCATTCCATCCGGAAGTACACTGCACTGAGACACTGTCTGGAGAGGTAGTGTGCATGGCGTGGAGCAGGGCTGACTGAAGGGTGAAAACTGTGAGCTGTGTTTAGGAAGGACAGTAACGGTAAGAGTACTGGAGCTGTGGAGCGTTGGGGTGGTTGTGATGCTGTAAGAGTGACAGACAGACTGTGTGACAGGGCTGAGGGGTGTGGCAGCGCGTGGCTGACATGGGCACACACAAAATCGTGACGTGAGTTGATAGTAAAGTGATGAGAGGGGGTGGGGGGGGGGGGGTAAAGTTTTCCAACTCACCTTCTGGTTAGTTGACATATCCTTATTTAGAAACAACAAAACACAAGAGGGCAATCAAGAAAAAAGAACCTGCAACACAAAATACTGTAGGAGCTGATACAGAAGGAGCACCAACTTATAAGACAACATCTGGGTTTGGGGAAAGGATAGAACACACCTCTGGCTAAAGGATTCCGGGCCTTAGAGATCTTAACTTCCGGCCTTAGAGATCTTAACCTCTGGCCTTAGAGATCTTAACCTCTGGCCTTAGAGATCTTAACCTCTGGCCTTAGAGATCTTAACCTCTGGCCTTAGAGATCTTAACCTCTGGCCTTAGAGATCTTAACTTCTGGCCTTAGAGATCTTAACTTCTGGCCTTAGAGATCTTAACATCTGGCCTTAGAGATCTTAACTTTTGGCCTTAGAGATCTTAACTTCTGGCCTTAGAGATCTTAACATCTGGCCTTAGAGATCTTAACTTTTGGCCTTAGAGATCTTAACTTTTAGCTGCTGTGTTATCATAAAACAGCCATCATGTTGTTTTACTGCAGCAACCTGCTACATATATTTCACAGGGTTGTAAGCACCCCAAACAATTTGTCACATTAAAGTTTAAATATAGTGTGTGAGCCTTGAGTTCCTTCTCATCCAGCACATACAGTGAGGGAAAAAAGTATTTGATCCCCTGCTGATTTTGTACGTTTGCCCACTGACAAAGAAATGATCAGTCTATAATTTTAATGGTAGGTTTATTTGAACAGTGAGACACAGAATAACAACAAAAAAATCCAGAAAAACGCATGCCAAAAATGTTATAAATTGATTTGCATTTTAATGAGGGAAATAAGTATTTGACCCCCTCTCAATCAGAATGATTTCTGGCTCCCAGGTGTCTTTTATACAGGTAACGAATTGAGATTAGGAGCACACTCTTAAAGGGAGTGCTCCTAATCTCAGTTTGTTACCTGTATAAAAGACACCTGTCCACAGAAGCAATCAATCAATCATATTCCAAACTCTCCACCATGGCCAAGACCAAAGAGCTCTCCAAGGATGTCAGGGACAAGATTGTAGACCTAAGCAAGGCTGGAATGGGCTACAAGACCATCGCCAAGCAGCTTGGTGAGAAGGTGACAACAGTTGGTGCGATTATACACAAATGGAAGAAACACAAAAGAACTGTCAATCTCCCTCGGCCTGGGGCTCCATGCAAGATCTCACCTCGTGGAGTTGCAATGATCATGAGAACGGTGAGGAATCAGCCCAGAACTACACGGGAGGATCTTGTCAATGAACTCAAGGCAGCTGGGACCATAGTCACCAAGAAAACAATTGGTAACACACTACGCCGTGAAGGACTGAAATCCTGCAGCGCCCGCCTGGTCCCCCTGCTCAAGAAAGCACATATACATGCCCGTCTGAAGTTTGCCAATGAACATCTGAATGATTCAGAGGAGAACTGGGTGAAAGTGTTGTGGTCAGATGAGACCAAAATGGAGCTCATTGGCATCAACTCAACTCGCCGTGTCTGGAAAAGGAGAAATGCTGCCTATGACCCCAAGAACACCATCCCCACCGTCAAACATGGAGGTGGAAACATTATGCTTTGGGGGTGTTTTTCTGCTAAGGGGACAGGACAACTTTATCGCATCAAAGGGACGATGGACGGGGCCATGTACCGTCAAATCTTGGGTGAGAACCTCCTTCCCTCAGCCAGGGCATTGAAAATGGGTTGTGGATGGGTATTCCAGCATTACAATGACCCAAAACACACGGCCAAGGCAACAAAGGAGTGGCTCAAGAAGAAGCACATTAAGGTCCTGGAGTGGCCTAGCCAGTCTCCAGACCTTAATCCCCTAGAAAATCTGTGGAGGGAGCTGAAGGTTCGAGTTGCCAAACGTCAGCTCGAAACCTTAATGATTTGGAGAAGATCTGCAAAGAGGAGTGGGACAAAATCCCTCCTGAGATGTGTGCAAACCTGGTGGCCAACTACCTGAAACGTCTGACCTCTGTGATTGCCAACAAGGGTTTTGCCACCAAGTACTAAGTCATGTTTTGCAGAGGGGTCAAATACTTATTTCCCTCATTAAAATGCAAATCAATTTATAACATTTTTGACATGCGTTTTTCTGGATTTTTTTGTTGTCGTTCTGTCTCTCACTGTTCAAATAAACCTACCATTAAAATGATAGACTGATAATTTCTTTGTCAGTGGGCAAACGTACAAAATCAGTAGGAGATCAAATACTTTTTTCCCCTCACTGTAGGTACCTACTACCTAATGTGATGTGATCTGTGTGTCAGCTTGGCTTCCCCCAGTACCTTGGTTTCTGTGCGTCGTGTGGTGCCGTCATCGGAGGTGACAACGGACACGTGGGAGGTGGGCGTGCCAGGGTCCTCCTCGATGGTGACCGTCTCCTCCACCATCTCCTGTGGCTCCTGCATCATGGCCAGAGACGTCTGGTTACTGGGGCTCTGCTCCTGGAGAGAGAGAAGGAGAGATGGTTAGGGACTGGAGGAGAGGACACGAGTGGACATAATATACAAACGTTTTATTTAAGGAGATCGGTGTGCCGACCACCTTACGCATGTTATATTATTTGACAGCACAGTTGGAAATGAGAGCGGGAGATACAAACAGGGACAGATAGATGAGAAGGGCTGAGACCGGATATATAACCCCGTCACCAGGGTTACACCCTACTGTATGTGGTCTGCAGCTGAACTTACACACATCCTACAAGGTCTGAGGCTGCACTTTATACGCAGTTACAATATACTCTCATCATCAGAATATGATGTGGCAGAGTGATCTACTCAGTCAGAAGTGGCCGTAGCACCTGTGGGCTGACGATGGTGCCTTACCTAACCATCTGTGTGTGTGTGTGTACCTAAAATAACTTCCTCCATGAGGCCATCCACTACTGTAGCAACACTCTGCATGTCAATCTCTCCTGGCTCAAAGTAAAGGAGAGATTGACTGCATCACTACTGGTCTTTGTGAGAGGTATTGACATGTTGAATGCATCGAGCTGTCTGTTCAAACGACTAGCACACAGCTCAGACACCGGTGCCTACCCCACAAGACATGCCACCAGAGGTCTCTTCACAGTCCCCAAGCAGAACAGACTCTACATGGAACTCTATTCCACATCAGGTAACTCAAGCAAGCAGTAAAATCTGATTAAAAAACAGATTAAATTACAATTTATTGAACAACGCGGACTGTGAAGACACACATACAGGCAAACACACACTCCACACACATATTTTCATATTGTGGTTTATAAATGTTGTATTGTAGATACACTACATGACCAAAAGTATGTGTACACCTGCTCGTTGAACATCTCATTCCAAAATCATGGGCATTAATATGGAATTGGTCCCCCCTTTGCTGCTATAACAACCTCCACCCTTCTGGGAAGGCTTTCCACTAGATGCTTGCAATGCATGGTGATCTTAGGCTTATCTGCAGCTGCTCGGCCATGGAAACCCATTTCATGAAGCTCCCGACGAACAGTTCTTGTGCTGACGTTGCTTCCAGAGGCAGTTTGGAACTCAGTAGTGAGTGTTGCAACTGAGGACAGACCATTTTTTTTACTTCAGTGGTCCCGTACTGTGAGCTTGTGTGGCCTACCACTTCGCAGCTGAGCCGTTGTTGCTCCTAGACGTTCCCACTTCACAATAACAGCACTTACAATTGACTGGGGCAGCTCTAGCAGGGCAGAAATTTGACGAACTGACTTGTTGGAAAGGTGGCATCCTATGACGGTGCCACGTTGAAAGTCACTGAGCTCTTCAGTAAGGCCATTCTACTACCAATGTTTGTCTAAAGAGATTGCATGGCTGTTTGCTCGATATTATACACCTGTAAGCAACGGGTGTGGCTGAAATAGCCGAATCCACTCATTTGAAGGGGTGTCCACATACTTTTGTATATATAATGTATGCAGTGGTAGAGTAGTGATGTAATAATGTTGTATGATGTACTGTTTTACTGTAATTTTTTGGTGATGGAATTGCCTTAATCTTGTTTGGACCCCATGAAGAGTGGGTATCCTTAATAAATACAAATACCCAGGTTCCATATTTAAAGAAAATTAACGTCAACTAATTACTGTACACCCTCGTAATGTGGAAAATAGGAAGGAACCATTTGCATGCAATCATCGAAAACCAAAGGCAAAGAAAGGAGTGGGAGAGAGATGTACAGTGAGTGCTGGGCAGTGCCACTAAGCTAAGGAGAGAGGGAGAGGGTGGAGTAGAGAGAGAGAGAGACTAAGAGTGAGAGATGAGTTGTGTTGTGTCATGGTGGGTTTAGCAGAGCTAAAGAGTGGAAGGAGGGCTGGGTGAGGCAGGCAGGGAGTTGATGATGCCAGAGGGACTGCTGGTTTTCTATTAGTCTTTGAAGGTGCTAACAAGTGGGCAGTTCTTCAATGATTAGCCAAGCAGTGTTAGCTAGCTGCTGCCTGTGCAGAGCGGCCATTCTAGCCGGGGTTTCAACGTCTCTCTGCCTCACAGAGACCTGATTTATCTGCTGCCCATCCGTCTTGCTGATCAGTCAGAAGACTCCACTTTCATGATGGGGATCTTTTCCTCCGTAATCCAACGGGCTGGGCTGTTCGGTGTTTGTGTGTGTGCAGGTGGGGTAACTATTGGCCCTCGGCCCTTCCGGTCATCCGGACACCCTTTTCAGGGACAAAGTCAAACACAGTTTCTCCTCTCGGCGTCACAGCAGTAGAGTCAATTAGTGGGAGTTAATTGTGTGTTGTCATTTACCTCAAAGCAGCGTGTCAGCTCTCCATTATTGGGACTAATGACTGGTAAGAGTACCTGATTTATGCAGAGAGAGACGCTATCATAGTCAACTGTTGTGGGACGTTTGAAAAAGCTAATGACCTATGGTTAATCACTAAAGTAACGTGGGAGGAAAGCTCTCTTTGTAATGGTCCTGAGAATAGAGGAGTGTTTTTTAACCTTTCAACATGATCTAAGGCACAGTTGTACTGTAGGATCAAACCAAAAACCTGCTGTGATAAGAATTGCCCCCATCTCAGTGCATGTGTGTGTTTGCGAGCACGTACACACACAGTAAAGTATGTCTGACACTGAAAATGTGAATAGCCCTTCACCTCTGCAGGGAACTCACAGGCTTGAAGGCTGGCCAGAGGACTGCATATGTGTGTGTGTTCATCCGTGTGAGGACAGTAAACTCTCAGTCTTGGTAGCTACTCAGCGGACAGGACAGCTCTCCCTGGCTGTATTTTAAACAGCACAACCTTGAACCCCAGAAAAGGCCATCAAAACAGGACTATGTAATGAAAGACTGACAAGCGAGCTGCGGCTAGAGCAGAGCTCCTCTGAGGCCCGCTAGCTGACAAACTGGTGGCTTGATCCCAACGTAATGTTGTGTCAGACTCCACTAAAGTCTCTCTCTCTCTCTCGAGAGAGAGAGAGAGAGAGAGAGAGTAGCAGAGAGAGGAGCGAGAGAGCGAGAGCATCGTAGCGCGAAATAGAAGAGAAGCGCGAGCTGAGCGCGGAGAGGATCTCTCCATCCTCTCGTTATATCTATCTTCTCTTCTCTAGACTCTATCTCTCTCTCTCTCTATTTCTCATCTCTCCTCTCTCTCCTCGTCTCTCTCTCTCGTCATCTCGTCTCCTCCTCTCACTCTCTCTCTCTCTCTCTCTCTTCTAACTGTCCTGGATAGACTAGCATGTCTGTCTGGAGGTCCAGGGATAGCGAGAGCGAGAGGGGGCGGACTGGGAGGGAGGCCGATCTGAGTGGGGGAGACAGAGGAGAGATTGGGAGGAGGCAAGGGTGGAAGTCACATCTAAAGGTGACCTTTCGGAGACAGATAATAACATTGGAATGAACACGCACGCATATGCGCATACACACACACACACGTCCAAGTGATATGTACTGTTGCCATGATACACCTCCTATGAACGGAAGCTCATACAGATGTGTAATAAAACAGTATATTACTGTGTACTTGAAAATGATCGGATTACACACATAAGGCCCTAAAAATTGTCAAAGACTCCAGCCACACAAGTCATAGACTGTTCTACTGCTATCGTACGACAAGTCTGGAGCCAACAGGACCCTGAATAGCTTCTACCCCCAAGCCTTAAGACTGCTTAATAGTTAACCAAATAGCTACCGTGACTATCTGCATTGACCACACTTTGCACCAACTCTTTTGACTTATCACATACGCTGCTGCTACTGTTTATTATCTATCTATTCTAGTCACTTTACCCCTTCCTATATGTACATATCTACCTCAATTACATCATACCCCTGCACATCGACTCTGGTACCCCGTGTATATAGTCAAGTTATTGTTACTCATTATGTATTTATTCCTTGTGTTATCTTTCTTTATTTTTCTGTCTGCATTGTTGGGACGGGCCCGAAGTAAACATTTCACTGTTAGTCCACACCTGTTGTTTACGAAGCATGTGACAAATACAATTACATTTTATTTGATATGGAACAAAATCAGAGGTCGAAGGCAATAAGAGCCCTCATAAGCCTACATATCTTTCAAAAGGTCTAGTTTGCCTGAATCAAATACGAGACCTTGACACGAAGGGAGGAACATAAAGTAGTTTCGGTGCCAACTGCAAATTCCAGAATTATAGTTAGGTCAGCAGATGCCATAAAGAAAGAAACTTCTGAGAAAGGCTTTGGTGGTGTTAAACCACTTTGGAGTGAGAAAGGAAAGGAGAGACTGAAGCCTCAGACAGACATGGGTTTGGCCTCGAGGCAGGTGGAGGATTAGTCAAACCTGCACTTTATTCATCCTAGTCTGACCGGATCAGACAGACAGTATGGGGCAGAGAGATCTCTAAGAGTAGGAGACATTTAAACACAGGACAACTCCTGACACCAGGTACATTTACATCATTTAGCAGACGCTCTTATCCAGAGTGACTTACAAATTGGTGCATTCAAGTTATGATAGCCAGTGGGACAACCACTTTATTTTATTTTTATGGGGGGGTGGGGGAGGGGGGGTTTAAAGGATTACTTTATACTATTCCAGGTATTCCTTAAAGATACGTGTGTGTGTGTGTGTGTGTGTGTGTGTGTGTGTGTGTGTGTGTGTGTGTGTGTGTGTGTGTGTGTGTGTGTGTGCATGTGTACTTAAGTGTACCTGTGTGAGTGTCTCCACTCTCAGCCTGTGCTAGATTAAAAGCTTTAGTGGGGTTCCAGGTACAGGAAATTAGGGTTAGTCAGTGTTTTTTTGTTGCATTCCTCTCTGTGTAGCGTGTTCTCCCTCCTAACACCTTTCCCTAAGTGTGTGTGTGTGTGTATATATGTGTGTGTGTGTGTTAGGCCCACAGTCAGGGTTAAAGACTTCACAGGTTCCTAGTAGACGGGCCTGTGCTCTGTGCTCCACTAATACAGGCCTGTGAAAACTGGCAGGTCTGAGTCACTACCACACAGCATGCTAGTCAGTCAGTCA